AGAGAATTTTTAATATTTATTTTTTAGTTCTCGGCAGACACAACATCTTTGTTGGTATGTGGTGCTGAGGATCGAACCCGGGCCGAACGCATGCCAGGCGAGCGTGCTACCGCTTGAGCCACATCCCCAGCCCCGGTTCTTGAGCTTTAAAGTCAGGAAAACTCTGGTCCTGCTCAGACCCCCTGCATACATGGGGTTTCCTTTGCGTGTTGCTAGGGGTGCGAGCTGTTTACCCTTCTCGCTCCTTCACCTTATGATTTAACTCCCAATTCATCTGCAATTTCTGGAAACCGTCCCCTATTCCATCTCTAGATACCTACCACCATCACATAGCCTAGGTACTGAGGCAGGGTCTGTGCCTCTACTGCACACCACCCCCCACCCCCAGCTGCATTAGAGAGCAAGTGTCCTTTACTGCCCCAGCCTCTGCGTTCTCTTGACTCTCCACTTCTCTTTTCAGATCTCCAGCTCCTATGTGACCACCACCACCATCAAAGCACCTCCAAATGAGGGTCTCCATGATGGAGAACAAAAATTGGAGAAGATGTCCCTTTACTCAGCAGAAGATATCCGCCCTGAAATGAAAGATGATATATATGATCACAGCTATCAGGATGCCGAGGGTCCCACACCCAAGCTTGAGTATGTCTGGAGAAATATCATCCTCATGGGCCTGCTGCACCTGGGGGCCCTGTATGGGGTCATACTGGTTCCCACCTGCAAGTTCTACACTTGGATCTGGGGTAAGCAGGTTCCTTTATTCTGAACCAGTACCCCAGGTTTCTCACTGATATTTAATAAGGTGGGGTCTTCCACAGAGCAGAGGCTCCTCTCCTCAGGTTTTGCCTGCCAAGTGTCTTTGGTTGCCTGAGAGGCTGACTGGCCTGGGAATAGAGCCTAGTGAGATTGGGGTGCAGGAAGGTAGGTTCTACAGGGTCCCTTAACATGGGTGCTGAGGAGCAAGCACTGAGACCATGCGCAGGGGGCTTTGAAGTATAGATATGTGTGTGGCACAGAAGCAGCTGTCCCCCCAAAAAACTTTTCTGTTTGAGTCAGTTGGCTCCCTGTCCCTGTCCTGCCTGCCTGAGTGACTGAGAACCTGGGGCTAGACCAGAGTTCCTGAACTGCACACCAAGCACAGTCAGGGTTGTAGGAAAGAAAAGCTGATGAGGAGAGATCATGCAAAATTAAGAACCTGAAGGATTATCAATAAGATTCTGACCTGACCCCAGACCAGACCAGGCTTGTCATAGAGGGGAAATAACAAGGCCATGACCCAGACTGCACAGATGTGTTGCTCTGTCACTCTAGATAGGTCTGGATACAGCTTATGCCAGTCAGCAATATGTGCTTAGAATGAAATAATGTGGCAGAAATGCTTCCTGTTCCATTCCCCACTCTGCCATTTCCTGCTCTTCTCTCCTGAGGCTAGGAAGTGCCCAGGACCTAACAACTTCTAACACCAGCTGCTATTCCTGCTCCTCCCTATTCCTTAGGCTGCTGTAATGAGAGAGAGGTTGCCAGTTCTCCCCTGACCTGCCCATAGCTTAGCATTTTTGGAGATCCATGGCTGGAGGCTGATAGCCCCTGGACCCATGCATGTGCTTTGCAGACAGATTGACCTCTGCCCCTAAAGCCCAAGTAGGGAAGGGGGAGCAGGGAGATCTAGAGACCCATGGGCCCAACTGCTGCTCTCCGAGAAGTTGGAAGCCAGGACACCCTCTCCAGGAGACAACCAGAAGTTTTCAGAACAAAGAGGCATGAGGAACTTTCTTGAAGGGTAGTGGTGTAGAAGGGCTGGTTGGCCATGTGTTAGCCTATCCCCACCGGGTCTCTTAGGTCTTATAGGTGGCTATATCTGGTCTTGGTAGTTAAACTTTGTCTTGGAGAATGCTCTAGGTGCCATATGGAAATGAAACTGAGAAGATTCCCTTTCTCAGGATCACCTGATACTAAGTGGCAACAACACTACATTTATAGGATTGAAAAGGTCCTATTGCAGTAGGTCATTGTGTGTTATTGCATCGTTTCTCCTCAGTCAGCTATTTCAAGAGACTTCTGTATCTGTAGACTCTGGAAGAGCACTTAGGGCAGGGTTGAGGAGATGTCTCTGGCAATGCTGAGGGCCAAAGGGCAAAGTAGTGAGATGTTGCTTAACCATCAATGTGGACACCAACAGTCCTCTGGGGAAGTCAGAGTGAATCTAACTGACTGAGCCTTCTTGAGAGTCTGACAAGTATGCATAGAACAGGAACCAGAGTGCCTGGATTCTGATCCAGTTCCCCTTATGATGGGATGGCATATGCTTTAGGAGCCAATGAGCCAGGGTCGTATGCACCATGCTGATACTTCCTGGCCTCTCAGCTGAGTGTTTCTGCTTTGTCTAAAGCCCTTTCTTTCCTTCTGGTGATTGCAGGGCCCTGGCTCACTGTGGTTTTTCTAGGTATGGGTGATGCATATCAGATCTCAGTTACCACATGGCCAGAGGCCAAATATCAGCTGGAGCCTCCAGTGCAGCTCAGAGAGAATGTGGCCAGTACTTTCCTTGGTACAGTCACTATTTCTTTGACTCTCCTGCGAACCCTGTGGGAGGAAAGGGATAGGGTACAGGAGGGAAGGGAGGGGAGAGAAAGGAGCTGTTTAGGAAACTCTTTATCTCTGGCTGTAGAACACAGGATAATTTGTTACCATATATACCATTTTCAACCCAGCTAAAATCTGGCTCCTTAAGATCATCCTTTCCATCTGGCTCCTAGGAATGAAACATTGTTAACAGTTTCTCCCAAGGTCTGAGTCCTTGCCTCTTAGAGCTACTAAACAGGAAGACATAGGTACACCTGCCTACTTGCCCTTTAGAGATTGTATCTGGTGCCTGGTGAGCCTGTAGAACTAGAGGAAGCAGAGGCAAGACAGTGCTCAATAAACAGGCACCCTCTAAAGCATCTATTTCTTTCTTTACCTGCAATATGTGGTGTTACTAACAACTGCCTGTGATAAAGCTTGAGCCATCGCACACACGACTGGGTGCAGGACTGACTTACCCTGATAGTGTTGCATTGCCTGGTACAATGCTTAAAAGTTTCTCACCAGCTGGTACATTGCTACCCCTAGTGTCCACTACGACCAGTTGAGCAGTGCCCAGATTGCTGTGGCTATCTTCATAAAATCCTTGTATATAGGGTTCTGAGCTCTGTTAGGAATAATTTGATTATCTTCGAGAGGGTAAGCTGAATGTCAAACCAGACAAGACCTTGGATAATACCCCCACCTTTGACAATGACAGTGGCACAGTGGTGAGAGTTTTATTCCTATCTTGCCATCCTGCCTCCTTAGTTCCTGAGAATCCTTGAATTGTCTCCATTCGTAGGTGGGGAGGCTAGGAGGTGGTGGTCACATTTCAAGTAGTAAAAGGCACAGGCCTTGGATGCCAAGGCAGCCCTATGGTTCAGGTAAGGCGGATATTCACCCAAAGCCTAAAGAGCACATGAGTGGTATAAGGAGAGTTACTTTGATATGCTTTCCCTATGGAACTTTCCTGTTGGTGACTCCCCTATCATCTTGTCCTGGCAGCCTATGTGTACTATTTAATCAGTGGCCTGGGCATCACAGCAGGAGCTCATCGCCTGTGGAGCCACCGAACTTACAAAGCGCGGCTGCCCCTGCGGCTCTTCCTGATCATTGCCAACACCATGGCGTTCCAGGTGAGAAGCGGGTGCTGCTCGGCTTTGTATCTCTACCTTGTTGATGACCTAGGGTGGAATAGAGGGTGTCAATGCCCTGAGAGAAGCCTCAGCAGGACCATCACTGACCTTTCCAGTTTCCAGGGGTCACCTAAAGTGTACGCTCAAACATGGAATGCTTCAGAATACTTCACTAGGAAGGGAAGTAGGGAATAAATAGGCAAAGCTCTGGAGGTACAGGATTGTTTTTGATACCAGTGTGTTCAGCTATTGTGATCCTTTATCATAAGGGGCCACATCACATAGCCACACACTGAACCTGGTTTCCTGGGCAGACACTGGGAGTGGGGGATACTCTTGGTTTAGGGAGACTATCTTCAGACACCACCTTTTTTTTTTTTTTTTTTTTTTGAGAATGATGTCTAAGAGATTCAGGAACTTTGTTGTCATGGGTAATAAGATCACATTTCTATAGCATTGTGTGCTGGGAACTATGCTATGCACTTCATATAGATGAACTCAATAAGTCCTGATACATCTTAGGAGATAAGTGCTATTATTTAGCTCCCTTTTACAGATGAGGAATCTGAGTCACTTAGAGGGTGGATGGACCAACCTTGTCACCCAAGGGCAGTATGTACCTCATGACCATGACCACATTTCTGTGGTAGCTAAGTCAGCTATTGAGGATAGTTGTGGCCCAAATTTATATCAGAAATAGAATGAAGGGAATTGGGGTAGAGGACTCTTACAGCTGGTACATTATAGCAATGGGCACAGGATAACTCGTGGTATTGGGCTTAAGAGGAGAATAAAAAACAAATTAGTCCTGTTTTTCTTGGCAATATCTGAGGTATGGAACCACATTTGGATAATCATCTCTGGTCCTAGAAACTTATACCTTCAAGGTTCCTGATGTTGTCTCTGTGGGCCAAAGAGAAAGAAGAAACACATTGGAACATTTTTTGAAGGAATGGAAAAAGCCCCAGACAAGCCCAGAAGTCCTTTGGAGATGCAGTCATGGTCATGAGTTACATGCTGCCCTTGAAGCTGTCACTTGCAAACACATCAAGATAGAACTCCTTGCAGTTTTCCTCATAAGCCATCACCCCAGGGTCTGAAGCCACCTGCCTCATTCCCTTGCTACAAGAATTGCCCTGTTCTCTCCTAGTGAAATTATTTGAGCATGGTGGTTTACCTGCATTCTCCCCATCCTGTAACCTGCAGGAAGTCGCAGTTCTATTCCTGGGTCTATACTGTAAGTCGCTTTTCCATCTGATCTTGAGGGCAAGTGTGCAGAAGAGGGCAGGCCCCTCTTTGCCTCCTCTGGAGCCAGACTGTGTGAGGTCATGCCAAAAGCCATGGACCCTTTACATACATTTAAGAATGGCATTTTTCCCATGAGGGCGTCCCTCCTCAGGCCTGCATTCCTCTTCTCTGTCCCTCCAGAATGATGTTTATGAATGGGCCCGAGATCACCGCGCCCACCACAAGTTCTCAGAAACACATGCTGACCCTCACAACTCCCGCCGCGGCTTCTTCTTCTCTCATGTGGGTTGGCTGCTGGTGCGCAAACACCCAGCTGTCAAAGAGAAGGGGGGAACCCTGGACCTGTCTGACCTAAAAGCTGAGAAGCTGGTGATGTTCCAGAGGAGGTAAGTAAAAGGAAGATGGGACCAGGGATGTGGCCCTGGGCACCTGAATCTTAAGGACTCCACCTTTTACCTTAGGTCTTAGAAAATAAAAGCTGAGGATTTACTGGGTTTGTAAATTCAAACTCATTTAAAATCCAGTATTTAACATGCCACAGGTCCTCAGTCAGTTTACGGCTCTGTTCCTTTCTCTCTGAGCTATCTTAATGAAACCTGTTAAAATGCAACAAATGCTCACTGACCTAGGATAGTTATGGACACAAAAAATAAAGTAGTTAAGTTCTTTCCTTCAAGGAGTTTGTATCCTCTTGGGGTTGAAGGGCTAAGCCAACTACCCAAATAACCACAATACAGGGTAGAATATTGTCTGTACTATGAGAGGTGCAAAGGGAGGGAGGTTGCTCACTGCGGGCAGAGGAAAGTGGTTATGAGAGATCTTCACAAGCATTAGTGATCAGTGATAATGTAAACAGAAAGAACAGAATGAGGCCGAGAAGCCTCAAGCATGTTCCATGAAGGATGTCCTTCTTCTTGTAGGGTGGGGCAGGTAAAAGGACTACAGAGACTCATGCAGTTCCTGTGCAATTCTAGTGTGGATTTAGGATTTTATTCAGTGGGCAACAGGGAACCTCTAATTATCTCCTTTGCAGCCATGTGGCACATTCAAGGGCATGCTTCAGAGAAGCTGCTCTCAGGACAGGTGAAAGTTACCATTGAGCCAGAGAGACAAGAGGCAGGGACACAGGTTAGACAGTAGCAAGGATCCATGCTAGGGAAGCAGTGGCAGCAATGGAAAGGAGTTGGAGGCAAGGAATGACAGTGACATACAAGTGAAAGACATGACTGCTGAAGGGAGGTAGGCAATCCATTCCCTTAAAATGCCAATCGCCTGGCTTTCACAGGAGTGAAGAGTATGGAACAGGGCCTCTGAAAGGACAGAGACCTGCAGGTGACCAAGGATATTCAGTGAGCCTTCTGAGAGACAAGTAGAGCAAGGAATTTCGGGGAACAGGGAGTAGCTAGAATGGAAGCATGACACTGTGACAAAAAGAAGGATCCTGAAGGCCCAGGCTGCAGAACTGGCTGATGAGTTTGAGATTTGATGCTCATCTGTTTAACCAACATGGCCTTATGGTCTCCTGAAAAAGAACAATGGACTTCAAGTCAGGATACAGGTGTTTCCATATTTGTTCTACTGGTTACCAATGGGGCCTTCTTAGGAAAGTCATTAAACACATTGTTACCTCCTCTAGAGACTGGGATAACATGCATTGAAAAGTTCTTCCACCCTATTCCCTCGTGCTCTTTTCTGACACTCTTCAGTGAAAGTGGACAATCCACTTAGGCATGACAGCCCTCCACTGACTCACTGTGGGATCTCTCAATGTAGGTACTACAAGTCCGCTGTTCTGCTGATGTGCTTCATCCTGCCCACACTGGTGCCCTGGTTTTGTTGGGGTGAAACTTTTGCACACAGCTTGTACGTCGCCTCTTTACTGCGATATACCATAGTGCTTAATGCCACCTGGCTGGTGAACAGTGCTGCCCACCTCTATGGATATCGCCCCTATGACAAGAATATCAACTCCCGAGAGAATGTCCTGGTTTCCCTGGGAGCTGTGGGTAAGTCATAAGACAATAGCATGACCACACCTAGTGGTTTCCTGATCAGGATATTTGGCTAGGAGCTGGAAGAACCCAAATGACCTATTTTTTTTTTTTTTTTCAGTATAGTTCTAGGGGCAAGATACTGTGAAATCCCTTTGGGAGTGTGGCAACAACTCTTATGTAAAATGGAAAGGGTGAAAAATAATGCTGTTTTTAAGTTGTAAAACAATCTCTAAATCCTACCTACATTGAGCCCCATTGACTTTTTTCTTCTAGTCATATTTTACAGGTTTGTAGTCTTGAGGCAGAGAATGCATAGAGAAAATTAGAGACATCTGCATGACTTAGAAGCCCAGTGTCTTATATTTAAAGATGCTGTATAAAATGTAGAACAATTATAATTCAATTCAAAAATTTTATGCCACAGAATATTTTTCTCTCCATTGTACTTGGATGTGCCCTATCTTTCAAGTGTGGGCCATACCTTGTTATTTGTTGATGCCAACATGAGGGGAATCAGTGCATCTCTTGGTGGCCCGTGTTCCCACATGCCACCCTTGCTCCTTATGTCCTTTATTTTTCTGTCTTCTGTTCTTACAGTGTGCTAGGAACTCCCTTTTCCCATAGTGCTGGGGGAATCCTCCAGGAAAGCAGAGAGTTTGACAGTTCCACCATCAGACTCTACCTTTTCCTGTCCTTCATTCCAAGTGCATATAGACTTTGACCAAGGCCTCAAGTTAGTTTTCCTGGTGCAGACACCATATTTGAAATAAATGACCTATGATGTACAAATCATAGAAATGTAAGAACCTAGATTGAGATGTGTCCCATAATTGTAAATGGAACTTCAAACCTGCTTTTTTGGCCTCTTAACCTTACCCTTTCTCTCTTCCAGCTCTGTTTCCTGCCATTCTAATCTCTTTGCTTCTGGAATTGCTTCCCCCATGGTCACATGTTAATCTTTTCTCTGATAAAGGTGACTTTCCCCTAGAGTCTTCGGCTATCTCTTACTGTCCCTGTTGTGTCCCATTGACTCTCCTCTCCCTTCTCTATCTGTATGTCTATCCCCTTTTAAATCTGATACCTTTGGGCTTGTTGAGGTCTTGCTCTGAACCCATATGTGGAAGTTAGCAATCCTCTATCAGCACCCCGAGTCTTGGTGTTCCCTGTGCCCCACTCTGCACTCCTGCTTCCCAGTTCACTGGGTGGTCAACGTGTGTACAGAGATAGTGCATAATTTGAGATGCCCTGGATGGAGTAATTGACTTGGTAGAATTTCCTTCACTTGCTAGTTGCTCATTTCATTGCTATTCTATTTATTTTTTATACTAACTAATAAATAAAGGACCTCTCTTTTTTCCAACTCTGATAAGGGTCAGTGTTATTAGTATTGGAATTGACTTAGACAAAAGAGTCCCTCCAGAATTGTTTTTTTACCCAATAGCGAAATGGTCCTGAATCCAGGATTTCTTTCTTTCTTTTTTTTTTTTTTCTAGCAAGGATTTCTCAGAATCTCAGCTTACAGGAAATCTCTAAGTATTTTCAGAGTGGTTCTGTTTTTTCACCCCAGGGTCAAAACTCAGGATTAGGATCCAGATCAGCCTACTGTGAACCAGCCATGGTTGTGGAAATTCTGGCCTCTGGTTGAGCCTCCTTTTCTCTTTGTAGTGATAGGATGGCTGTGGCATTTCCAAACATCCAAAATATGATTTCAAGTAAGGGTGTGGTTGAGGTGGGAAATGGCTGTTGCCACCCATTCTATTGGAATTTCCCATCCTTGAATGGGTACCAGTGCAGTGGGGAAAAGTGCTTACTCACCTTGTTAGCAGCACTGCTACAATTTCTTCCTCTGGACTCTCCCCTCCTCACCTCAACACTTGTACAGAGGCAAAGTGCCTGTGGGGTTGTAGGCTTGTATTTAGTGGAACTATGGTAGTTTCTAGTATAAAATCCTTTCTCAACAGTATTAGTTTCTTATCCTCCAATAGAAACTCCTTATCACAAAGGCTCCCAGATAGACATAGGTGATCAGATCCTCTTGGTTCATTGCTTATGATGACTCTGAGGGCATCTATTTGTTTTAAGTAGAAGACACAGGGTTCATTTATTCACTCAGCAACAGCAGCTTTCTCTGAGGTTTTTAGTGCCCTGCTGGGTAAGAGGTTGCCAAGATGAGGAAAACAGAATTCCACTGAGATTCATAACTTCTTTCCTTGGTTTGTTCCAGGCGAGGGTTTCCACAACTACCACCACACCTTCCCCTATGACTACTCTGCCAGTGAGTACCGCTGGCACATCAACTTTACCACGTTCTTCATCGACTGCATGGCTGTCCTCGGCCTGGCTTATGACCGGAAGAAAGTATCCAAGGCCGCTGTCTTGGCCAGGATTAAAAGAACTGGAGATGGAAGCTATAAGAGTGGCTGAGTTTGAGGTTGTCCAGGGTCCTGTTCCAAAATCCAGTAAAGGTTTAATGTTCTGTTAATTAACTACTGAGTAATGCTACCTGGATGCTAAAGATGATGACCTTAACACATTCCGGTTCAGTAAATGACAAGTACTGAAGGGCAACAACTCCCCTCTTTGATGCTAAAACAATATTCATTTCTTCTCTACTCTATCTTTATTTCCATTGTCCTTTTCTTTGCTTGGTTCCTATCATCTTCCTTTGTCTTCTCCCTATTGCCTCCCAGGCAAGCATCTGGTCAGCCGCAGGTCGGTGTCCAATGTAAAAGCCTAGCAATCTTCCAAGAGCTTAAAAAAAACAAAGAAAGGATTTACTTCAGATACCCTCATGTTTGATCTCTTCTGAACTTTAAGGCAGGTGGCTCCACTTAGCAATGCAACAAAATCTTCTCAAAAGTGCCCATTAACTGTCATCCTACGCTTTGCCAGATGGAAGGTGAAAATAACTTTGTCACAGAGTTTGCAAAGCAGGTTATTCATCAGGGGAGAGTGAGCATGCTGGATATTATTTCTAAGTAAGGGTGTGGTTGAGGTGGGAAAGTTCTTTTTGTAGTCCGACCCAGCTGCCTACCTAGCAGAGACCTGGAGCCTCTCCAGCCAGTATGCATCCTTTCTCTCCTGACTGATTAGGGGATGGCCATGCAGGTTGGCAATGTTAGATTACAGCAGCACATCTTAATGTCTCAATATAGTTTAGACTGAGGATAAATGGGAAGCATATAGTTCTTAGGAAAAGTGATCTCTTATGGGGGAAAAAAAATTCCCCCGTATTAAGGAGATTTGTTATTTTATAGATGAACGAGTTGTCGACTGTGTCCGGAAGTGATGGATACAGCAAGAGCTCATTGAGTTGTGAGGATTCCGTGAGCTGCTTGTCCAACTTCTTTCATCTTTCTGCTGTGCTATCTTCAGGATTTTGGTCACTGTCCTTGTAATGATAGGATGGCTGTGGCATTTCCAAACATCCAACAATGGAAAGATTTTTAGCAGGTGAATTTGGGTCAGAGTTAAATGTGTATAGACATAATTTGTACTGGAGCATGAAAATATTCACTGGGAGTATTTCATTCTGAAAAAGAAATACTAAAGTAGCTTGAAGGACAAGAGGAACCTATTGGTTTACCCATTCCTCCCACTGCTGGGCAGGAGATGGACAGTTGGAGGGGCAGGGTCTGTAGGCAGCTCCTGAGAGATCACTTTCCGAAGGAAGAGCTCTGACAGCACATTGCCCAAGGGTTCAAAAGTCACTGAGTAATTTGTTAGGTGTTCTAGTGAACTGAGTTAGATAGTGGGTCCACCACTACAAAGCAGAGGCCTGCAGTTCAAAACACCTCTATAAAGAGAAGCCTTCATGTCGGTGGAATAAAACATAGGCTTCCTCCCCCAGTGTTGTACCTTTTCATGCATCCTTGCTTTGTGACCATCAGATTGCATATAGGACTGCCTGGGTGGGAAGGAATTTCTTAACTGTTTCTAGTTTTCTGGCTCTATTCCATCTGTCATCTTTCCTCTGCTGGTTCACTCTGTTCTCCAATGTTTTCTTCTTTGTCTGAAGAGTCAGCCTCTTATGTCCGTTTAGGGAAGTGAGAACTTGTTATCTAGGCAGCTCCCTGTCCTGTGGACACAAATCTCATGAGCACAGAACTATTGTTTCTCTTTAGCAAGGAGGGCTGACTGTCTCTTTGCTGGTCTCCAGATCCTCTGTGCCTGTGCCACACTGATAACTTCAGAAAGTTTAGAGAATGCTCTAGAAATATTCCTGGCTCAGACAGCTTCAGTCTCCTGTGAAGCCAAATGCCCACCATACCAGTGAGCCAATCTCAGAGCAAAGCAGGGTTAGAAGTTTGTCTCCTCTCTCTGGGTTAGAACAGAGAGCATGTTCAGTGCCTCCTGCATATTCAGTAAGACTGCTTGCTCCCAGGGGACACTCAATCCTTGTAGAAGGAGGAGGACGCATAGTCTTCACTGGGAAGCACAAGAAATAAGGGCAAGTCCCAAGTGCCTCATTTTGAAAGGGGGCCCCAGCCTGGAGCCAGAGTCTGCTGTAAACCTTTGGCTGAAATGTGGGATATGAGATGCCATGAACTTTGCTGAAAATATTTGTGTCTGTTCAGCAAACTAATCAACATCCCCTACCACACAACCTAGGGCAGAAAGTAAGATAGAAGAAGTCTAGAAAAACACAGAACACCACTATTTGAAGACCATGGACCTGTCCTGCCCTGAACCTCAGTCCTTAAAGCAGAAGCCTGACTGTGCTCTACCAGGATCAGCAATGTGCAATCCCAAGTGCTCTGTCCACTGAGATCTAGCCATGGGAGGAAGCAGGGCCTTCCAGCCTGCAGTAAGGCAACCTGTCCTTAAGCTGTTCATTTTAGTAGAAAATCACCTCATGAAGGAAGAGCTGCCTACTCTGTGCCTATCACCGGAAATGTCTGTTGAATGGTTTTAATTCTACAGGTCATCAAATGTCTGCTTGATAATATATAAACAATAAACTCAACCTTTCTCTTTTCTTCTCATCCTGTTCCATGGTTCTGATCTATGCCATGTCCCTACACACATGGGTATGGTGACCTCAGGGTGAGGTCCCCAGTAACCCTGTAGGGGCACGCTGGTTTAGTAAGAACACTCTTCAAGATTCTAAAGCTCAATTCAAGTGACACATTAATGAGAAACTCTCATCAAGAGTTAATTACTCAATCCTTGCCTTGTGGGTGTGCTGACAACAGATTCGGGTGCCTTAATTCTTTTCTAATCCTGTGGTTATGCTCCTCCTGGTTCCCTCTGAGCAGTCCTTTACCCCTGAGAGCCTGCAGCAGTGCCCTAAATCAATAGAAGCCTGGCTGGAGTGTTATCAGTGAAGAGACTTGAAGGACTCCCCTCTAAGTTTCATTTTAAAAGCCTTTCTTAGGAATGTTTTTATTAAGTGCCCAAATTTGAAGGAGAGTAGAAGCAATTTGAATGTATTTGACATTTGAAACATGGAATGGTGGTAGTAGCATTTATAGTGGAAAGTATGCTTGGTTTGCTAATATCTTCAGTGTACTGTATGTAGCTCAAAGGGGTAAGTCAAAAAGGTAAACAAAGCAAGGTGACCCTGTTACACTAGTGGGTAAAGTCTGGGCCTTCTAACCCGGTGCCACCAACTTGCTGTGTGACCCTTGCTTTTATAACAAACCCACTCCCCAGACAATGTCATTAATCCATTCAGAGCCCTCTTGAGCTAATCACCTCTCTTTAAAGTCCCACCTCTCAATTTGTTGCTTTGGGGATTAACATTCCAACACATGAACTTTGAGGAGGAACACTGAAATTGTTGCACTGGACAAATCACTCAGTTATAATGTGCCTTGCTTTATCTTCTGTTAAAATGTGGTATGATAATAATACTGACCTACCTCAAAGGACAGTTTTGAAGTATTACTAAAGCCTATTATTAAGCATTTTGGGATATTCAGAGAAATTCTCAAGCCCCACAGACTTTTCTAGTAGCAGTATCCACCACAAACTTGACATGCACATATGTCTGGATGTCATTATTAGCCTACATGGTTCTCAAGAGATTAAATGCAGCCATTGGAGATGGATGTGTCTCTTATGCAGGGTACCTTTTCCTTGCCTGAGTGGGTTGTTTTTTTTTCTCTTCCCATTTTAATGTGAGATAGTAGTTATTGGTTACCTAAGAATAATTTTGGAATATCAAGTCTGAAGCTAGTTGTACTGATCTGAGATTATGTTTGTTAATAATAAAAGTGAAGTGATTCTGATTGCACTGTGTCTTAGAGTGTTTTGGCTGTGATATAATCTCCTGGGACCTGTCTCTATGGCCCACCATCCCGTGTGTGTCCTGAACCTTTAAGAGTTAAAAATAAATATAAAAATATTACAATGGTTGAGTCATACCCCAGTAACCTGCCCTGACCTTCCAAAGGGTAACTTTAGGTTAAACTCTGGGCAGCAGGAAAGGAGGTGTCTGCTCCTATTAAATCAAACACATACCTGCGGTTGCACATTGGCCTGGAGGCATGCCAGGACCACATGTGTCACGTGGTCACATGGACCCAAGACAAAGATGCTGGAAGAGGCCGACAGCAGCCGCAGAAGTGGGTTATGTGGTAACCAGGCTGGGCAGCCCAGCTCCTGGAAAGTCCTGGCCTCCAGGCAATAAATGGCTTCCTGACCACTGATATACAACAGCAGGAAGAAAGAAATAATACAGGGGAACCTGGATTCCTGGAGTAGAGAGGGCTTCACCATCACATGATGGAAAAGGTGTTTGGTTTGGTTTCCTCTCAACTTCTACGGCTTTGGTAATCCTCTTGTGGCAAAAAGAGGGCAGAACTTGTACCATCTGTACAAGCTCCATATTCCAGCAGGAACCTCCTTGACCAAAAACTTGGCTTCTATGAGCTCTAAGAACTACTTCCTTCAGTTCACCTCACTTTCTGATCTAAGGTTGTCCTTGTCTTGAACAAGAAGCACTACTCTCTTAGAGTCATTGTAACGCAGGACTCTCTAATTCTGAGTATCCAAAATCAAAGATAACATGCTTCGAGGCTTTGCCAGACCTTACTAACTTAGACTGAGGGTGACATTTTCTTCATCAGTGAGTATCTGGCTTTCTACCTTGAGCCCCACTCCCTTTCCCTTGTTTAAAATGCTGAAGTCAGAATAATTTTTCGGTTGTCCCATAACTGCACCTGCCCTGCCGCGTCTCTGCTGTTGCACGGACTGGCATCCCAGGGAAACAACATGTCCTCGCTGTGCTCCTGCTGCCTTCTCAGTTCCTCCTCTTCCACACCTGGCTGTCCTCCCTCTGATTAAACACACCTCTGTGCCTCCTCCATATTTTCTATATCTATTTGTTCCTTGGACTGTTTTCTTCCTTGTCTGCAAAAGTTGTCCAAAGAAAGAGGAAAACAGAGAGATTTTAGAACTGGAAAACAGTTAAGGGAAGGAGTGACAGCTTTCTTGGGAGGGTGAGATGGAGAGCAAGAGCTCCCTGGGGGCAAAACAGTGAACTCTGCTTCTCCATGTTTTATGAGAAGGGATAAAGAGATTAAGGACCAGTCTAGGCATCAAGATTTAATTATTGGCAAAAAAAAAAGATTTAAAATAATGGAGAAACTAAAATAATGAAAATTTTTATACCAGTGGCCACCATTTCTCCCTCCTCCCTAAAAGAACCACTATTTTCCCCAAAATATCTGACAGAGCAATGAAAGAAGCAGCACCTAAATTAAACAGAAAGATGTAAAACTACCTTTGTTTCCTGATGATATAACTAGAATATGAAAATTTCTACAAAATAAACAATTTAGGCAAGGTTTCAAGATATAATAGCAATAGGGGCTGAGGCTGTGGCTCAGTGGTACAGCACTTGCCTAGTATGTGTGAGACACTGGGTTCGATTCTCAGCACCACATATAAATAAATGAATAAAAATAAAGGTCCCTACACCTAAAAAAATATTTTTTTTAAAAAAATATATATAATAGCAATATACAAAAATCAATTGTATTCGGTCTAAACTAGCAATGAATAGACTAAAAATGAAATTGAAAAATACTTCCATTTATAGTAGCATCAAAAATAAAGATATGTCCAGTATGATGATACACTTCAAACTACAAAATGCTGTTGAAAGATTTTAAAGGAGAAAGTACTTGAAAGATATTCAAAGGAAGTATAGTTCATGGATTAGAAGACTAATATTGTTACCATGGCAATATCTTGAAATTTATGTATCATTTCAAGGCAATTTTTATCAAATTTCAACTTTTTTCAACCAAAGTACTAAGAATTGAAAACAAGGACCCTTAACTACTGAGCCACATTCTCAGTCCTTTTTATTTTTTATCTTGAGACAGTGTCTCATTAAGTTGCTTAAGGTCTTGCTGAGTTGCTGAGGCTGACCTCCAAATTGTGATTCTTCTTCCTCAGCCTATTGAGTCACTAGGATTATAAGAATATACCACTGTGCCTAGCTCTGATTTTTTTTTTTTTTTTTTTTTTTTGGTACTGGGGATT